CAGTAAAAAATTAAGCGCTGTTGCATTTCGAAGATGAGAAGTTAAAGAATACATATTTAGCAACTGCCTTCCTCGGGTTCTTCGGATATTCTCTTATAGTTACAGATTTCCAATATTACAAATTCTGACGACGTCTGTCAAGTAGAATCTTCGCTTACATATTAACATTCAGGTGATTATCTCGTTAGCATTTGTTTAGACCTTTAAGCAGCGAAATGCTCTTTGTACTAAATCAAAGATTCAATAGCTATAACCGATTTTGCATTCATATAACTTCGAATGTTCGCCTACAGAAACTTCGTTTATCTTCGTACATTTCTTCTGCAGTTAAACCTAACTACAATCTTTATCCACGGAACGTCTTAAGGTAAAGACTCTTATATATCCCAAAAAGAACAATCGTCGAACAATTCCATAAAAATTGCTGGGTGCGATTTTCCCTGGGGTTGCGTTGAATCCTCCTACTCGCCGGTGGTACACGAAAGAGAAGGAGAGATTCAATGAACGATCGAAGAAGCTGGACGCGTTCCTTTGATGCGCGTGTTCACGCATGAGTAGGCAAGTCCTTCTTTTGGACCATTGCCGGTAGGCAATCAACGAGGACCATAGAAGGGGTCCTGGTCGATGCAGTAACACATACGTTCCACCCAGCAGCAATGTGCCAGCAATTTATGACAAGGTACAAGCGCAAACACGTGTACCTGTACCATACATTGGACCGACTAGACTATATAAACCCGGCTGCATGTGTGTAAATGTGTCTGTATGTATTCCTGCGTTCACTTCTGTCTACATGTGCAATGTGTACATATACACGTACATATGTATAGATATGTGTATATTCGTATGTAGTTAGACGTGTGTAGGCGAAGGCGAAGTTACGGAACCATGGCTTGCATCTGCCTTATAGGTGCCCCCTTCCCTATCCTCTTACCCTGCCACCCCCTCGTGTAAGGGTGGAGCTCACGAAGAGAAAATCCTTTGGCCAGCGAAGCTTGGATAATCGCGCCTCCGAGCTATAGTCGCGCCTCTTCGCCGGAGAGGCAAGCACGGCAGAGAGAAGACACGCTTTGCTGCAATTGCAGCGGCTGCCCATCCGCGTGGAAATCATAGCTCGCTGCGGGACTCGAAATTGTCCGGAAACGCTCGGATTCTTCTTTCACCAACGTTTGATGGTGGTGGTCGGTGATGGTGACGACGGAGGCGAGGATAAAGCAGAGAGTAGGGGGAGGGGGTTCAACTTCTTCGGGGATTTGAACGTAAAGGGGTCGCCCGTTACCATCGACAACGATCTCTCCTCTCCTTTTGTAATTCCACAAGCAGCTCGGGGCTGGCTCGTTGTTCCGCTCCGTGTCCTCCCAGCGTCGATCCGAGTAGTTCCGATCAAAATCGGATCTGGGTTAGAAAGCACCGTTGAATGACCTTGAACGAACTACAGTTGTTCCTGTCACTATGGCGACTATCCAAAGAACGATTTCGGCTATATGTGATAAGAATACCTCTTTTTAGTTCTTTTATGCTATCATCGACATATGTTTTCTGGATTACCGTACTTCTCGTTTGGTGATCTAACGGTATATTTGATTGAAAGCTTGTCCATTACGACGACTCATTAAATATTATCGATGATTTCCGTCACAGCCTGTTAGCCTTTTAATCTTTATAGTGATTATAGAATCTCACTCTTATCAGAAACTAATCATAAAATTACAAATAAATTTTTCCTCCATTTATACCAATCATTCTTACATATTTCTAATTTGAAAATATTTTTATAAATAAGCGACTCATTTGTTAAAGGTACGAACAAATATTTATGACTATTAAATAATTTAACAGCAGGACGATTAAGAAATTTTCCTGAATGCTCGATATAAAATAACCTCTTTAAGCAATTGGAACACATACTCGACTATATTGTTTCGCGATCAAGGAGCAACGCAGCTAAGAGATAACGAGAAGACCAAAATAAGAATCATCGCTTCCTGCCCTGTTGATTGCGTCCGAGCTGCTGCTCGCGCATCGTTCACAGAAAATCCGACGATAATCCCCTTAGGGGTCAGAGACCGAGTATGAAAGTACCATATTGTGAAATCTGCCAGAGAGCAGTAATGTTCGAGGTTTGAGGTTCACAGACTCGTCCGACGTTGGATGGTATTAAATGTCATCGCGAGAGAGATTACGCGCCGCTTTGAAAGAGCGTTCATCGTCTCTCTTCCTCCGTCTCTATCCTCTTTCTTCCACTTTCCTCTCTCCTCTCTCTTTTCCACCGACTCTCTTTCTTCTCCAGAGGTACACCGCTATTTCACCTATTCCTTTTCTGGGTGTCGTCCGTTTGCTGAGACGTGCAACGCGAGTTCTTCCCTTTTTGAAGGGCGGTATTCTGGCTACCATCCCCGAACGTGGCCCAACCTCCCTTTCACTCCCCCTCGAAGCGGCGGCAACTCCCTGTGGCATCGAAGGGAGCCAGCTTTCATATCCCATTTGCCCCTATTTTTCATAAGCGATATTAGAATCTATCACCGAGACCCGGCAGGCACTCCACTGGAGAGCAGAGGGGATGAAATCGAATCGAGGGTTATACGGATTGGAGGGAGAGGTCGGATACCGTTAAAAAAGATAGAGAGGCGCCCGATTATCGGTCCGGTGGGGCACCTCGATCGCTGACGATTATCGACGCCATTCAACCACCGACGTGAATAGATCCAGCCTCGCAACAGAAAGATGCTTTCCATTCGTATTCTGTCTTGTTTCCTTGCTCGCTCTATCCCACCTTCCTGTGAGGAGCAGACGAAAGTTCAACTACAGTGTATATAGAGACTAGCAAGCTGATATTTCTTTCACCCTGATGCACAACGCTGGATTGGTACATCGATTGGAATGCTTCTGCTTGGTTTTTAGATTCGTTTTCTATATATAAGTTTGTGCTAAGAAACGTTCGTAATATTTTATATATACGTTACTCGGTAAAACTTTTATATGGCCGTTTGTTTATTTTGTATTAATTGCACTTATGTGAACTCTAGCTAGTTGAATCAACATGTCTGAACGTGAACCACTATTATATAAACAAAAAATCATAAGTGGTATTCTATTGTACTCTGTCCATGTCTGAAAAAGGCGTAAATCTACTAGATGATCGTATCATTAATTAATTCTTTCTAGTTTGAGTGAATATGAATTTGTTAAGTGTGAATAAAGAATTAGATATATCTTTATGAATTTATTCTTCACCCCTCATGCGCTAGTTTATCATTATTAATCTACGAATAAAAGGTTAATAAGTATATATCAAGTCTCCATAGCATAGCTCCATATAACTTCGCTAGAACTCCATATAACTACCGAAGGAATACAATATTATTTCGAACGATTTCAATGAAGCGACTCAGACTGGATATCGTATTCATCATCCACGAATGTATAGTAAAGCCAGTAATTGATAACACCTCGTACAAATTACTGGTATTAAAAGAAAATCGTTTACGTCATCTAGCAGAAGGAAGTTCGAAACGAAAGCTAGTTTCCTTGATAGCACTGCTCGTTTCGTAACAATTTATTCTTATCGCTGCTTATCTCTCAATCTACGCTATCGCTTCACTAAGGCGGAAACGTGCGGTGCCGCGCAAGACATTCAGAACGACCTTCGCTAGTTCAAAAGAAAGCGTACGATAACAGATGGTGTTATGCAAATTTCAAAGACGCCCTCAGTTCCCCCTCTTCTCTTTTTCTCTTCTTTCCTTTCCTTTTCTTTCCTTTCCTTTTCTTCCCTTTTCTTTTTTATCCAATTCTGTTCAGCTTCTAATCGAGCTGCGATGAATTTACATTTTTCGTATTTTCCATCGCGAACGAAATTCTTTTAGTCGTTTGTACACGTGGTACGCGAGCCGGATGTAAATGCTCACCGTTTCGATTCCTGACACGCGTCCCCTTCTTTTATTCTTTATGTTAATCGTGCTTGAATAAAAGTCTGCGTAACCGAGCACTGCGACCAACATATTGTTATGCGTGACGCGGTCCACTGAAATTCGTAGATACTATCGCGTTTATGAGTTTGCGAAATTTTGACTTGATAATATCGTTTCGGTAGATTGTGGAGTAAATAAATATTTTCGTGCATTCTATAAATTCTTGTGCATTCTATAAATTCCTGTGCATTTTTAAATGTGCATACTTAAATGTTCAATTAAATGACGAAACAATCGCACCGAAAAATTTTTCACCTCGCATGAGGCGAAATATAGCTACTCTGTAAAACACCTAACATTCGATCATTCTATTCTCGGGAATCACAAAGGTTGTGATTGAAAATGAAAGGTAGTGTCTTTGAGCCTATTTCAAACATGGCGATATATTCGTATTCACGCCAACAAATTTTCCTGGCTTCGTGGAAATTTCGATTAAGCTCTCGTTTTGTCGCGCTCGGTCCGTGAAAAACCCGCTGAAATTTCCTAGCTGACGCATCGTTGGATCGTTAAGGCTCATCGCGAGTGCAAAGCGGCGTAAGAAAGACGCGCGTTAACGTTGAATCACGCAATCACCGTCGTGATTAACGGACCGATTGATCGCGGCGTCAAATTAATGTTATTTATCTTCGACTGCACCGATGTTGGCGCATTGGCGTCGCGCGTATTACCGTAATTACTAATTATAGTTTCGAGCCGGCTCGTTAATTACCCAGTTCGCGATCCGTGCGAGTGAAACGCCAGTATTATTGACTCGCTAAACAGAGAACAGTCTCGACCATATTTTCAGCATATTTGCGCGAGCGGCGAACTTGCGTGCCACGCACACACAGGGTGCTACGAACGCGCAACGAAATTTTGCCTGCGGACGTGCGGCGTCAGCAGTCCTCTGGTGCGAGCGGAAACTCGCGTTTTAACGATCACCAGTGATCAAACAGCAATTACCGGCCCATGGGTATCGAATTATTGTATAGCGGGGAGAACCGACTGATTCTCCCAACCCCTTCTCTCGAGAAAATCATAAATTTCACTCACCTCTGTGCCTGTTGGTCTGCTTATCGAACATCAGCATGGCATCCTCGATCTGTAATTCCATACAAAAAGGACATGTTAATTGGCGTATTTCCTCCGATGTAAATTAATTTCACATGTACCATGAAATCGCACTAGATTCACTGAAAATCTGTCGCAAAATGAATTTTTACAGTTGCTAAATTTTCTTAAGAATAAGGTATTGCCTTAACAGAAGTAGAATTTTTGGTTGATATTTGTAACAAAATGGTACATCTGACAATTAACTATGAATTAATAGTTAAATCACTTGGAAGATTCCAGGAAACCTAAAAAGTAATAAATAACAAACGTAGGAAAACATTGAAATTGTGAAAAGTGTTTTATTACCATGCTAAAATATGTATATCATTTCACAGGCACAAATTGTCACGGTTACATTTCCGCAGATTCCAGAACAAAAGAGCGTGATCGCGTTATAAACAACCATGATAAATGTACGACCTGCAAAAAGCGACAAGCGAGACGCGACAAAAATGTCAGAACTTAACGTCATAAATTAGTAGCGACCCTTTCTTGGTATTACCAAAAAAAACCCTTCTACGTGTCAGGAGCCTAAGTGGCTCGACGAAGGCGTTATGGATCGTAAACAACCCTGTAGAAATAGCGTAACAGAACTTGTGAAAGCGCGACAAATTTTGAAGAGAGGTCAGTTTTCCTGCCCGAGAAAGAAAATTAAAGTCATGCGATCTAAAAATAAATAGAAACCTATTCCCCGATTTTCTCCTCTAATGTTACCCCTGGTCGTTGCAATCTACTGTTCAATTAACTAACCATTGCCGCGCGCCGTCAACTACAAGATACAACCAATAAAATCGCCCTCGTTAAATTTCCACGCTTCAGCCTCGATCGTGCTTGCTACCCCTAGTAAAACGAAAAAATCAGACATTTCCCGGATCGAACGTTAACCTAACTACCTCGAGCGATTGGCGACGGTAGAGGGTGGGACGCAACCCCTTGGAATCGGAGATAGGATCGCTTGTATTCTTTCCGGAAGTACATGTGCGCCGTAAAGCACAGCTGGACCGAGATTTACGAAGCCCGCCGCCGAGAAAAGCATAGCAAGGGGATTGAGAATGGCGGGAGTTGTAGCAGGTTGGGGTTGTGCGGGGGTGTGTTGTCGGTAACCAAAGTGCAAAGGAGACAGAGAGAGAAAGAGAGTGAGAGAGGAAAGTACAGAAGCACAAGAGGCGGAAAGGCGAAGCGGCTAGTAGGATTTATGGGACAGGAGAAACAATAGGGATTACCTTCACCCCCTGCCACCCTTGGAGTCGGGCTCTGCTTTGTTCCTTCGCACTTCCTGCGAAAGGACCGCAAGCACGAAACGATAGAAGTGGCGGTCATGCGTTGCTACCAGCAGTAGCACGTGAGAACAGACTCGAATTATTCGGACAGGAGAGAGGATGGACGGTGCGCGCAATAGAATCAAAGGCGGCGGAGAATGTAGAGAGGATGGGCTAAAAACTGTAGTACAAGCGGCGTCGTGGAGGCGGGAGTACATATTAGATTATGCGATTAACACTCGATGGACTTCGTTGGCGAAGAGACAGTTTCGTCCCGTTTGCATCTGTCAACGTAACGTAATTCGGTTTACCGGTTTACATAATACCCTCCACGGCGAAAGTAACATAGGAGAGGCGTGTCGGCGACCGGATAAGGTCGCGTTGATTTAGGACGCCGCAGAAAAATGTTGGTCAGTTGAGGTAAAAGAAAGCGGAGGATGATCGATCTTGCCGTCCTTCCTCGTTCGAATCTCGGATGGGGAAAATGGAAAAATGTTGAAAAAATTTATGTACTATTGCTTTTATTATTGCATGTTTTGGTAATAATTGCAAAATATTCGAACCTGGCTCCGTGAACATAGCATTAAAATTCCTTTAATTTTTATAACATTGAAGAGAGAAATTACATACACTAACAATCGTTCGAGAGAAATTACATACAGAACAATCGTTCTTTTATATTTTTCTCATACTTAAGAAATTTTGTGATAATAAAAGAAGGCGATTATGTGTGTGTATGTTGAAAATAACTGTGCTTGCTCTTTAATAATGAGAGCACATGTTAGAGGCATGGAATAATATTTTATTCTAACACGTGGCCTCTTCAAAATTGTCATATTTACAGCGTAAGGAAAGATTGATACTAAAACATCCATCCACGCTATCGTCCGGATTTAAGATCTGGCTGTTCTCGACACAGGGATTTGTTTGAATATCGTTAACTGTTTCGCAGACACGACAGGGGAACCGGAGGTTGTAAGCCAAAAACGCTTGGACCAACAGATTGTTGTTCGTTGCTTCTAACAAAAGAGCAGTCGAATATGAGATTCGCAGACGCAGCAACGCGGCGCTGCGTCTTCAATGAAGAATGACTCAAAGCGTGATTGTTTTATCGTGGGACCTGCGCCTTTTTTCTTTCTTTTCGAGAAGAAAAAGGGTAACAGCGGCGAATCGATACTTCAAAGACGGTGGGGAATGTGTCCAAAGCACCGGGACATACCTCGGAGATGGTGATTATTCATCGAAATAATCCACATTCTGTTGCTTTGAAAGTCACGAGACATGCCAAAGAATTGAGTATCTTAGACGACATTCGTCCCGTTTTTTACTTTCAAAAGAACAAGTAATATTATACGACAAAAGAAAGGACGATGATTGAAAAAGAAAGATAGAAGGAAAAAGGAAAGAGACGGAATGAAGCTTTTAAAAAAACAGAAGAGGCATCACAGCGTAAGGAAAGACTGACACTAGGGACGTCTCGCTATTGCCAGGTCTTTACCTTCTTCGCTGTTTTTCACAAAGTGCACGTCTTTCCATTATTTCTCTTCTTGTTTTTCGCCTAACGCACCTTTGCTGCAGCACACAGTGCGCTTCTGCCAGGTAAATCAAAGTCTGAACATTCCTCATTTGGCGATCCTGGATTCGTTCGATAGATCTTTTCTTCTTTGGCGGCATGGAATGTGGTTTCAATAAAAATTTAGCACGATATGATTTTGCGTAGGAATTTAAAGCACCTATTCGAAATTGTATTCGACAATATATTCGGAGAAGAGTTTAGAGAGAATGACTCATGGGCTTGACTTACGTTACAGGTAAAAATAGATGTTTAAATAATCGATAGGCGTGGGACGCGAAGCGAGGGCGAAACACGAAAAGGGGATGATTCGATCTCCCTGAAGTAGAAACAGTAATACAATTCAATTTGATGAAAGCCGAGATATTGAAGCGCGAGTGAAAAACGAAAGGTTAGGTTAAGACAAATGGTAGAAACGTGGAATGACGAATGTCCATAACACAGCCTTACATGATCTACTACATTAACAATCAAATTAATTTACACGAAGTGCATAATAAAATAAAAATACAAAAACTGTATTCAGCAAGCTCTTAAATCATCATATTCAAAAGTAATAATTTTCATACAAAGTATCTCTATTATTTCTTTCTTCTTTTTCGTTAAAATATCACCAAATAGTATGTATGAAACCAAAATGTTAAAAGAATCAGCAATTTTACGGTGTCGCTGAAACCTTTTTATACGTGTAATTAAAAACAAACACTCGAAATGAAAATGAAACAATATAAATTCTTAAAACATTCCTCGGCCTCGGGTTGATCTCTTTGATCATTCCAATATCTGGTTGGTCGCTCGGTGTTCCGTTAAAGACAGAAGATTGTACCACATTTCCCGGCACGGAATTATTTCAACTTTTCTACTCTTTTGCCTCTTGCTAGTCCGCGTAATATCCTTAGGGCAAGAATGGCAAAACCCTTTCCGATATACTTTGATGTCCTCGAGTTGTTCAACGGAATCACCCTCTGGCTTTGACTCGTTGAATCGATATTAATCTTCCTCTCAGATTGTTCTTCACGATTTTCTCGTCGTGCCTCCACGCTCAAGTTATTGCTTTCTCGTTTAAGCTACGATTATAGGAAACATTTCCTTGATTCTACTTTTCGATGGATTTAGCGGCCAGTCAATTACATGAGATATCGTCGAAAATATTTCGCTACTGATATTTTAGAAAATTAATTATCGAGCAATCATTAGAATGGACGTTACTCACTCGTGCAAATGTATTTAAACCAGAAACCAGAGATATTAATTTTCATTCAGTTCAACGCGCAAAATTTTTATACACATTTATAAAATACAGGTATGAAAATATAATTTTTGATATTGAAAGCTAATCGAGATACGTATGAACTTTAACAATCATTACACTCTCGTCCAATAGGTTTTTCTCATGAAATTTTATCGCAATATCAGTTGAATTGAATACAATAATGAAGAATTAAGCCAACTAACAGTTATATACGAAAAACCAATAACACTGTGATTGATTTCAAGATTGAAATTTGCGAACTTTACGAATTTGACTTTTTCTAGTGCTGAAGTGGGTGTATATTGTATCTGATAAACATCGATGAATATCGTTATTCTCGATATTCAATTAAAAACATATTTTTTATCAATATCTGAAAAACTATTGCAATTAGAGGAATTGTATAAACAATATAAATACTATTTATTATACAAATTTAAATATTCTGAAAGTTGTAAGCCAATTTCCTATAATTTATTCTACAAAGGCAATTTTATTCATTTAAGTCGCTCTTCTAGAAACGGCGAACAAATTAATAACCTGGAATAATGTGTAATGCAATTCGAAGCGTCGTTGTAATTTCTGCCGAGCTTCCATGTTCCACACGGTTGATCCACAAACGAACAATACCGAAAGGTTGTAGAAGGAACAAGCCGAGAAAGACGCGAAGCAGGGTTGTTGTCCCTGAGGAGCAATCGACTTCTGGTGAGTGGGCGAGGTGTACCTTATTACAAGTTCGATTCTAGTGGTGTTACAGCTCTCGGTGGGCCGTGTTGTAGATTGCTGTCTTACGAGTCCTGCCCTTTCTACCACCAGCAGCCGATCCCTTTTCGCAACACGCACACACATATTCACACACCTCGTATCATTTCCCGCGACAGTTTTTCTCTCCCCGTCGCTCCAAC